AAAACCAAGGTATTTTTTAATTTATTTTATTTATAATATATTATATTAATAAATATATAGTTACTTATATTAGTTTTAATTAATAGATTTTGAAAAATTTAAAAGTATGTTGTGTTATTATGGTAAAGCTCTTACTGATGCTTTGTATAATTATCAACATCAGCAGTACAAAGATGTTTTATATGATCCTAATGATTTTATAACAATGTTGAACAATTATAATCCAAATTTAAAATCTTTTTTTAATACAATAGTTAAAATGACTAGTCCAAAAAGAAAGAATAGTGAAGTTAACAAACATAGAATTATTGGTATTTGCTACAAATTTGCTGGAATGTGTAATAAGTTTGTTAATTTAATAAAGGTAAATATTAAATAAGATTATTAGTATTTTTTTTTTAGTGGTATAATAATTATTTTATATCCTCTTTTTATTTTAGGTAGATGCTGGTATTAGTTTAATGACAATGGGGTTGTCAAAACAAGGAATTGATGCATTGGCTACTTTAGGTGTCACTGTATCATATAGAGTTATTGTAACAAAAAAGTGTAAATTGTTAAAGGTATAAGATTCAGATCTCAAAATATATTTTTAAAATTAGGTATTCTATTGTATAATGTTTTTAAATAATGTGTATTTGATATATTTTTTAATAAAACTTTTTAAATTAAAGTTAAAATATGCACATTTTTTGAATGTTGATAACTATCATGATATACATGAAAAATGAATGCCCAATATAACTTCACTTCATTCAATAAATCACATAGCTACTATTTGTATTAATTTATCAAAATATTGTGCACCAATTTCATATTATTCATAATCAGGGTTTAATATTTATAATCCTAAATTTATTGATGCTAATATTATAATTTCAAAGCTTCGTATAGGATATATGCAAACTTTTGGCACAAGTTATACTGATTGAAAAAAGGAGTAGAATAATATTCAAGAAATAATAAACTTATTTAATAATATATTAATTGACAGTTTAACAATACATATGTATAATTCAGATATAGCAGAATACAAAAAAGAATGAGCAATGAAAGATGTTAAGCTTGTTGATTTAGTTCTCTTAGATCTTTATTCTATGAATAATTATTTAAAAGCCATTGATACTTATACCTGGTTACAGCCTATTAGGCAATATCTTAACTCTTTTATTGTACCAGTTCCTGCTGATTTTTCTGGACAGCTTTATATTCATTGTGCTATTGTTCACAAATTGATACTTGGAAATTAAGCCTTAATACCTGATCTAATTTTATGATTAATTTCTATACTTGGACTGTTATATGTATCTTTGAACTTACATCAAACAATAGTATTAGTATATCACAAGTTTTTTAGCAAACTTTTTAAATCAATTTGGAAGAATAAAGAACTTGCAGCAAAGCCTAAAGTATGGCAATCTGATTTACTGCTTTATCTTGCTTATATGGGATAGCTTTGAATTAAACTAACTATTATAACTCATATGAATAATTTTAAAGATTTAGAATATCAAACATTTATAGACTTACTTGATAATATTGTTCCAGCAACTATTGATATATATGCAATATTATTTAAAGCTAGAAAATGGAATGAGTATCTTGAAACAATATTTTGGTTGTGAACAATTTTTTGTTGCTTCAAAAAAAAAAATTATGCCAAACTTTCTTTAGCATTTCTTTCTGATATATTTTTTTGGGATTCAATTAATCACCCGATTTTTACTGCTTTAAAAACTCATCTTCCACTTTTTACTGATTATTATGTTGAAAATTTTCATAACATTCTTTGATGCCAAACATCAGGACAATAATTGGATGCATGTTCTCTTTGTAACAAAGCTTTATTTATTGATCATAATAGGCATAAAAATGAATTTTGTGATGCTTTTGTTAAATCTACACATTATCCTTAGGCCGTTCAAAGTTGATTAGTTGGTTAACGTCATCCCCCCCTCTTGGTTAACTGTTCCCCCCGAAATTAAACAAGCCAATCACAACACAGCAAAGACTTCATTAATCATGTGATCAAAAGTTGACCAATGAAATTTAATCAAATATTTTTAGATATATATGTGTTTGTTTAAATCTTCCCCTCCCCCCCTCGCTCCTGAACCCAAAATGTTGACGTTAACCAACCAATTAACTTTGAGCGGCCTTATACTCGACATCAATTAAAGCAACTAGAAGAAATGTCTGCTGAATTTTTATTATCTTTATTTATTGATATTTGAAATAAACATGGTCAAAGTAATATAATTTCTTCAAAACAATGTTCTAAATGTTTTTTAACAGCATTTAATGCAAATGTTGATATTTGATGGTTACCAATTGGGTATCATGTTTTAAAAAAGCTCTCAAAAGACAAATTTTGTAATGCAACAAAATGTAAATTAAGTGTATTAGAACCAGGCAAAGTATTGATATGTGGGCATGCTTATCATATACAATGTCTATTCATTAAATAATTTATATCCATATTGCTTTAAATTTTATGAAAAAAAAATTTAAAAACTAACAAAATCTTATTTAGATTGATTGAAGCTTGGAATTAATAAGAATAAAATAATTGAACCTGACAATAATGAAGTTGAAGATAATAATGAAAATGAATGTGAATATAAAAATGATGATGATATTGGTCAAATTGAAATAGATAATAATATAAGCAATCATCTTGATGCAGCTTTATGCTTGTTTTAAATATTTATTTAATGTTAAATTTGATATGTATAAATGTTTTTTTATATAGTATAATGATAATAAAAATAAATATGCTTTGCTTTTTTTTGCTTACAATCGAAATTATAGTAGTACAAAATATAAATAACACATGATCATCTCTAAATTTTGGTAACCATTTTTAAAATTTATTAGCCAATCATAATGAACTTCACCTATGCTATTTGGAACACTAACTTAGCCTCAACTTTAGCATTCTTCTTTCTGAGTTCGGTAACTGTAACTGTAAATTTAGAATTTAATTCTCTTAACAAAGCAATCATATATTTAAAATAAAAACATTATATACCCGATCCAATTTTTAAAAATTTTCTCATATGCAGATTAATATACAGTATATTGGTATCAATATATCATGAGTGCTGTCAATAGAAAACCTGTCATCGGACTTTCAATGTTCAGTTGGCTTTCTGCATGTTATCTATAGGCAATCTATTTCGATGATAGATTATCCATAGACGGCATACAGAAAGCCAACTGAACATTGAAAGCCCGATGACAGGTTTTCTATTGATAGCACTCATATATAACAACGAAATACAGTAAGTAAATTGATAATGTGTGCGAAATCAGCCACCAGGGCCAGCTTTATTATATAAAATCTTGGAAAAAATATGTTAAAAGAAAGAGAAAAAAAAAAGAAAATATAATGGATAAAATGTAAGAATGCAACAGCAGTTATATAAATAAACTTCCATATGCTAAAAATACATAGTATAAAAATCTAATCTAAATTCTCTATTTCTAGTTTCCAGTGGAAAATATCCAGAATGATATAGTAAAAATATTTTAAAAATTTTTGACTATTTTTTAATTGAATTACCTGATAGAATATGGGAAGGAAAGTCATCTTATTTGTACAGAAAAATCCAATTGCTTGTTCAGTTAACTGATATATGGCTTGTCAAACAATCTTTTTACATAGATTATATAATAAGTTACAACACCAATATTACATTCTAAGTCTAGAAATTTTCCTTAGTCTAGCTTTTCTAGACCAACAGATATCATAAAATCAAAAATTTTATAGTTACATATAACTATATTCCCTAATTACAATTTGATACTAAATTATTAGTAATAAATTATATTGCTTTGAATTATTATTAGAAATGGTAATTGTTCCCAGTAAATCTAGTAAAGTCATGATTGACCAAATAAGAGCCTTAGACAAAGAAAAGTTGTTGGGGGAAAATTAGGCAGATGCTCTAGCCCATTCTATCACTTCACCTGAAATTTTATAAACTTTAACACCCACCGATATCCCAAACGAAAACCTCTCTTTCTTAACTACTGTATTCAAATCATTTTTTTTTATACTCGTCACTATTATACCTGATACTACTATTTTTTTTTTATACCCGATACTATTATTTTTTTTTTTTATACCTGATACTATTATTTTTTTTTTTTACACCCATTACTATTACTATTATACCCGATACTATTATTTTTTTTTTGATTTTTTCTTTATTGCCTCCTCTTATCACCATCTTCAATTTGTCCACATGTAATACAGTTTATTAAATTAATGTGAAATTAATTTACCTATATAATTTATAGGGTTTGACAAAGCATAATTGAATATTTGCGATAAATTACTTGACAATTTCTAAAGTGACATTGATAAAAAACTAGTTACATTACTGCGATGATTCTGTGATGTTTTCCAATTTAAATACAGTAGATAAGGGAGGGGGGGTATTATGACGCAGGTGGGTATTGTGACGCACATGTGTTTTTTGGCAATATCTCGTGATACACTGATCAGAATTGAGTAATTTTGGTATCATTCGATTCCTCTTACTGAGACGAATCGAATGATACTAAATTCGTTTTATTTGAAGCGCTAGTATTCGAGTAATAAACAAAAGAAGACAAACTTACTAATATTTTGGGAACCGGCCCATA